TCCAGAGTGTGATGATTGTCCCCAGCTCTGGCATTGAAACCTCCCAGCTAGGAAGAGGTCTTCGCAATCTGGGCCCCTCCTGGCAGCCCAGACCCGTTCCTTGTAGAACTGGTTCTTGGTTTGTATATCAGAGCATATTGTGGGTGCATAGATGCTCAAGGTGTTGACCGGACTGGAACTGGTTGTGAGGCGGAGGGAAAGCAACTGTTCTGAGCCCTTGGCTGGCAGTTCTTTCACAGGCAGAAGGGAGCTACTCACTGTGAAGCTGTGCCTCCACAGTTGGAGACTGTTCCTGAATACCAGTTGCTGAAAGCCACAGGAGGGGAGAGGCCTCTTTGTGCACAGATTCTGCTTTTGGGGTTCCATAATGAGGCATCTGGTTGGCCACTGTGAGAACAGGATGCCGGACCAGATGGGCCGTTGGCCGGATGATGATGATGATGATGATGATACTATAGTGGATGCTCGGGTTGTGAACATGATCCGTGCGGGATGCACGTTCACAACCCGCAGTATTTGCAACCTGTGTCTGCGCATGCGCAGGTTGTGATTCGGCGCTTCTGCGCATGCACGGCCGCCAAAACCCGGAAGTAACCCGTTCCAGTACTTCTGGGTTTCGGTGGTCCGTAACCTGAAAAAACGCAACCTGAAGCGTCTGTAACCTGAGGTATGACTGTAATATTAATTCATTCATTCCCCGCCCAGCTGGCTGGGTTTCCCCAGCGGCTCTGGGTGGCTCCCAACAGAATACTAGAAAACACAACAAAACATCAAACATTAAAAACTTCCCTAAACAGGGCTGCCGTCAGATGTCTTCTAAAAGTTGGATAGTTGTTTATTTCTTTGACATCTGATGGGAGGGTGTTCTACAGGGCAGGTGCCACTACCGAGAAGGCCCTCTGCCTGGTTCCCTGCAACCTCACTTCTCGTAGTGAGGGAACCTCCAGAAGGCCCTCGGCTCTGGACCTCAGTGTCCGGGCTGAACGATGGGGGTGGAGACGCTCCTTCGGGTATACTGGACCGAGGCCATTTAGGGCTTTAAAGCTCAGCACCAACACTTTGAATTGTGCTTGGAAATGTACTGGGAGCCAATGTAGGTCTTTCAGAACTGGTGTGATATGGTCTTGGCGGCCACAGCAGGACTCTTCTTTCATTTCATTCTTATGGCATAGGAAGTAGACTGACCACCTGCCTCTGCATAAGGCATCTTTCCAATGTTCCCCATTCATCTCTCCCTAATTTTAAATCTGGTTCTCCCGACTTGCCCATTGATGAATTAAAGAAGCAAGTTGGTCTTTTTAACCCCCTGAAACTTGGGCCACAAAGGCATTTGTACCCCCCACCCCCCAAATCCTTCATAAATTTCATGCCCCAGTCAGCATATAATTACACTAATGGCATGGGCATTCTGCCACTCAGGTTTTGAAAAGGCAGATTTTGATTTGTCAGCAAAGCCATGCTAGATTCCTCTTGCATTCCATCTAATTATTTGCATATTTTTATTGGATTTCTCCACATCAGTTTGTGTTGGGTTTTTTTAAGATAATAGGAGGGGGGGAAATGTATGTTCTTCTCTGAAGGAAGACAAGACAAGACTGTGGTTAGCAGTTCTGCTCCTGTCAGCATATTCGCTTCAATATTTCTTCGGCAAGTGGCAGGCATTTTTGCTGCAGGGCTGATGAATAGCCGGTTGCAATCCCTAGGAATTTAATGCACGTCACGAAAGGCTGGTGGGTTTTTTTTTAAGAAACTGTATTTATGAAACAATAAGAAGTGCATGAGGTCAGGAGCATCTGTATTGGCCCGGAATGGCTGGCATGCGATCGTTCTTCAAACGGGGCCAAAATGTATATTACCGCTTCACACGGGAAAGCTGTGAAGGCCAGCCTGTCTTCATAGATCATAGAAATGTAGAGTTGGAAAGGGCTCCCACGGGTCATCCAGTCCAGCTCCCTGCAATCTGCTATATTAGTAGTTCTGTAATGCTTCCTCAGAGGGACGTGGGTGGCGCTGTGGGTTAAAGCCTCAGCGCCTAGGACTTGCCGATCGTCAGGTCGGCGGTTCGAATCCCCGCGGCGGGGTGCGCTCCCGTTGTTCGGTCGCAGCGCCTGCCAACCTAGCAGTTCGAAAGCACCCCCGGGTGCAAGTAGATAAATAGGGACCACTTACTAGCGGGAAGGTAAACGGCGTTCCGTGTGCTGCGCTGGCTCGCCAGATGCAGCTTGTCACGCTGGCCACGTGACCCGGAAGTGTCTGCGGACAGCGCTGGCCCCCGGCCTCTTGGGTGAGATGGGCGCACAACCCTAGAGTCTGTCAAGACTGGCCCGTACGGGCAGGGGTACCTTTACCTTTACCTTAATGCTTCCTCAGAGTTTCTGCATCTTGAAGAGCCTATAGTGCAAAAAATAAAATAAAAAATAGCCAGGAATGGGTGGGGATTAAAAGCCTGCAACAGGTGCTATAAGGAGTTGAAGGATTTCAGCAGCGAGTGAGAGGCATGCCCTGACTGGAAACAAATCATTGTGTCTGCCCCAAAACCTTTGTAGGTGCAGTATTATTATTTTATTTTATTTTTATTATTTATTGAATTTAAATACCGCCCTATACCCAGAGCTCTCAGGGCGGTTCACAGAAACGATCACAATATATAAAATCAAAATGAATACAATAACCCAGTAACGCACACAGGCCCCCCAAAAGAGCCACATTTTAAAAGGGTATAGGATGTCAATCATGTCAACCAAAGGCCTGGTTAAAAGCAGCGTCGCTTCTAACTGCCTTGAAAGCACCGTGAGCGTGAATCATCATCAATGCAATAAAAAGGGACATATCCTTGGAGCTCCGTGTGCGGACCTCTCAAAGTCATTTTCGTTTTATAAGAAGCATGGAATCATGGAATTGTAGAAGAGTTGGAAGGGATCCTGAGGGCCAGCGACTTAGGAAGTCCTACCGGTGCCTGGGAGATGCATGCGAGCTCTATGTCATGGGGGCGAGGCAGGGCCAGATTTAGGTTTTATGAGGCCCTCAGCTACTGAAGGTAATGAGGCCCTTTATATGTCCAGCTGTCCTTTGTCGACAACAAATTGCCGCTGTTTTTTGTGTTGAATATATGCTATATGGTAATTTATGGAGCTAATAGGTATCTAAAGCCATTTGCACATAACAAATAGGAGCCTACACAACACAAAACACTGTTGCTGTATGTAGGCTTTATTTCATTTCTTTTTTATCTTCTATTTCGGAAATGTACATCTAGGTTTTTTCCTTTAATTTTTTTGGGGGCCCCCAAGAGAGTGGAGCCCTAAGCTATAGCTTGTTTAGCTTTTACGTAAATCCGGCACTGGCCGGAGTGGTTGTGTCCCAGGCGTGTGCCGGCCCTGTGCTGCTTTTTCGGGCAGCGCTGGGCCTGCAGGGAGTCCAAGCCGTCGTATCCCTCCTGGGCGCCCTCCAGCCGGGAAAGATATAATATATATAATATAATTTATTATTTATACCCCGCCCATCTGGCTGGGCTTCCCCAGCCACTCTGGGTGGCTTCCAACAAAATATTAAAATACAGTAATGCATTAAAACTTCCCTAAACAGGGCTGCCTTCAGATGTCTTCTAAAAGTCTGGTAGTTGTTTATTTCCTTGACATCTGATGAGAGGACGTTCCACAGGGTGGGTGCCACTACCAAGAAGGCCCTCCGCCTGGTTCCCTGTAACTTGGCTTCTTGCAGTGAGGGAATTTTAATCGCCAGAAGGCCCTCGGAGCTGGACCTCAGTGTCTGGGCTGAACAATGGGGTGGAGACGCTCTTTCAGGTATACTGGGCCGAGGCTGTTTAAGGCTTTCAAGGTCAGCACCAACACTTTGAATTGTGCCTGGAAACGTACTGGGAGCCAGTGTAAGTCTTTCAGGACCAGTGTTATATGGTCTCGGTGGCCGCCCCCAGTCACCAGTCTAGCTGCCGCATTCTGGATTAGTTGTAGTTTCCGGGTCACCTTCAAAGGTAGCCCCACGTAGAGCACATTGCAGTAGTCCAAGCGAGAGATAACCAGAGCATGCACCACTCTGGTGAGACAGTCTGCGGGCAGGGAAGGTCTCATCCTTCGTAACAGATAGAGCTGGAAAATAGCTGCCCTGGCAGCTCAGACGCCCTGCAGGTCCAGTGCCGCCTGGGGCGAGCTGCCCCTCCTGCACACCCATAACTCCGCCACTACTGAGGCTCCTGCAATGCAGGAATCTAAACGAAAGCATCTATGACACTTGGCCACCCAACCTCTGCTGAAAAACCTCCAAGGAAGGAGAGTCCACCACTTTCCAAGGGGGTCCGTTCCACTGTCAAACTGCTCTTACTTCCTGATGTTCAGTCGGAATCTCCTTTCTTGTAACGCGAAGCCATGGGGTCAGGTCCTGCCCTCCAGAGTAGGAGAAAACAAGCTTGCTCCCTCTTCTACGAGATATTTGAAGGTGGTTTTCATATCTCCACTCAGTCTCCTCTTTTCCAGGCTAAACATCCCCAGCTCCTTCAACCGTTCCTCATAAGGCTTGGTTTCCAGAAACCTTGATCATCTTGGTTGCCCTCTGCACACCTTCCAGCTTGTCAATATCCTTCTTAAATTGGGGTCCCCAGAAGTGGACGCAGGACTCCAGGTGTGCTCTGACCTAGTGGTGGTGGAGATCCTGATCACCTGTCCACCCAGCTGTTATTAACCATGGAATGCAAGGTTTCAGATTCCTAGTTAGCAGCAGGTTGGAGTAAACCAGATTTGGGGGTGCAGCACAGTGGGCAAAAGTTAGAGCTCCCCCAAAGCTCAACCCAAATGGAAGCTGCTTCCACAGAAGGAAAATTACCAAGAGCTCTCAAACGCCATAATGTGTAGTCTGGCCCAGTAGCTGGCCTTTCTGAGATGAAATGGGATGAACGTTTAAATACGAAAACATGGGTCACAAAGCTGGGATTTCCCCCCTAGATGTGTTGCGAACCTAAAATTGCAACTTTTCCTCTTCTTTTCCAGCAGAAAGCGAAGGCGCTGGGTGCGTTTTATTACACACATCAAGAAAAGTAGGTACAATTGTCTTTATTTATTATTGTTGTCTTTTAAGAATAACTTGCCTTTAGCACACTCTCAGCGCAGAAAGAAAGGCGTTTAGCCTTTGTCCAGCCATTCCCTTTTCCGTAGAGTAGAGGAAATGTGTGTCTCTTGCTTTATCTAAAAATCTGTTCTCCTAAATCCCTAAAGTTTGATGTTCTTCTGAAATAATAATTATTTTCACTCTCCTTAGTGGAGTACTTCTCCCTCTGATGATGCTGGGGATGGTAATAATAATAATAATAATAATAATAATAATAATAATAATAATAATAATAATAATAATAAAGAAGAAGAGTTTGGATTTGATATCCCGCTTTTTCACTACCCTAAGGAGTCTCAAAGGGGACGCGGGTGGCGCTGTGGGTAAAACCTCAGCGCCTAGGACTTGCTGATCGTCAGGTTGGCAATTCGAATCCCCGCGGCGGGGTGCGCTCCCGTTGCTCGGTCCCAGCGCCTGCCAACCTAGCAGTTCGAAAGCACCCCCAGGTGCAAGTAGATAAATAGGGACCGCTTACCAGCGGGAAGGTAAACGGCGTTTCCGTGTGCTGCGCTGGCTCGTCAGATGCAGCTTGTCTCGCTGGCCACGTGACCCAGAAGTGTCCGCGGACAGCGCTGGCTCCCGGCCTCTTGGGTGAGATGAGCGCACAACCCTAGAGTCTGGCAAGACTGGCCCGTATGGGCAGGGGTACCTTTACCTTTTTAAGGAGTCTCAAAGCGGCTAACATTCTCCTTTCCCTTCCTCCCCCACAACAAACACTGTGAGGTGTGTGGGGCTGAGAGACTTCAGAGAAGTGTGACTGGCCCAAGGTCACCCAGCAGCTGCATGTGGAGGAGTGGGGAATTGAACCTGGTTCACGAGATTATGAGTCCCCCGCTCTTAACCACTACACCACACTGGCTCACACTGGTTTTATTATTTATATGTCACCTGTCTGACAGGGTATTCCTGCCTTACAAGAGGCCCCCAGACCCAGGGGTCAATTGTGGGCTCTCTTAGCTGCTTTTTCCCCTTGCCGTCAAGATTCTTCCCTCCTCAGCCTTTGCACCTTTTTTGAGGGTTTCTGCCTGCCTGGAATACGCCTTTGAACTCTGGCAGTGCATCTGAGAAAGATCAGAGAGGGGTGTGTGGATGTGCAGAAAATAGCCTACTGCACAAAGGTGCTCCACCCATTTTTCCCTCTGGCCCCACCCACCGCTGGCATGCGGCCCCTGAGAAGTTGCCCAGAAGCGAATGCGGCCCCTGAGCTCAAAAACATTCACCGCCTCTGCCATTCCAGAAGAGAACGTAGAACCAAATAAACATAAGTCTTGTAAGTCTCTGAAAGTTTTTGTAGACTATGCAAGTCTCTGAAAGAAGCAACGGGTCAGATTCTTATCTGATGAAAACAAGCCGTAAAGCTTTGTTATATGACGTCCAACGCTGCCAAAGTGGTCCGCACACAGACGTAGTGAACAGTGATTCCAGATATACCCCCTGTTTCATGGAATTCTTCTTCAGCACAGCAGAAGGATACAGAAATGCTTCATCAACCCATCTATGTGGTGAATGGAATTGTGTAACAACAATATCTATGGAGCAGTGGTCACAAAGTTATTCGGTTCTATGTTTTGAAGAGAATCCACGAAGAGTGCCCATTTAGTGACTTTCAGAGATTTATAAGATTTCTGTTTATTTGGTTTCACATATTGTTCAATGTTCCGTATAGACTATATAAAGAGTTTATATTGATATTGCATTGTTGTACTTGGTCATTGTGTTGCCTTGGATATTACTGATAATTGTTTGCAACACAGGGGTTTATTTGTTTGGTTACTTATTCCGGAAGAGAAGGCAGGCTTCTCCTTACTTTGGGCTGAGTCTGATACTGGCAAATCACAGAGCATATTTGTGCAGAAGGCTCTCAGTTCCGGCTTGGAAAGGCTCCATCTCCCATCAGCCACAGCCAGCATGCCCAGTGAGCAGGAATGATGGGAGTTGTAGTCTCAGAGCATCCTGAAGACCACAGGTTTCCCCATCCCTTTATGTAGGCAACACTGAGGTAGAGGAGCCCAGTGGTCTGTTCCAGAACAAAGCATCTTCCGCTTTAAGCGCAATCACGCTTCCTGACATATGAATTATAGCTCGGTTGCCCTCTCCACAGGCCCCTCGTGCCCCATCCTGGCTGGCTGATGCCAGTATTTATTTACGACTTGGTATAGCTATAGTAACATTTGCCCCCTGCCAACGAATGGTGCGGCGATGACTGCACAATTACCGTAAAGGAAAGTTAGATTTCCTGTTTCACAAGCACTGGTGCCAGCTCCGCAGCCTGGCAAATTAAAGCAGCCTTCCTAAAGCTTTCATCTTTTCTGCCGACATTCTTCCACTGCAGCCCACTCCCTCGAAGGGGGCGATGCCTTTGATGTATATTCCTGCCTGTTAACCTATCCCAGGCTCTTCCTTCCGCACTCAGAGGCTGTGGCAGCTTATGCGCAAGGAACGCATGAAATCCCATAAGGCACTTATCTGCTTGCTGGGTGGAGAGGAAGGCACCTCTGAAACTCAGAAGGTCTTGGTCTTTGTGCCCAAGGGGGGAGCTGGCCGGGCAAACTGTTGGCAGCGCAGACGGGGATTCCTGCTCCATCCTAGATGGTGGGCATTCAAAATGAAAGGCAGAGACCAGGTGTTTTTCAGGGGCTGCCCTCTTTGTCGTCTTGTGCCTCTGCTGGGGAGGGACGCGGGTGGCGCTGTGGCTTAAACCACTGAGCCTAGGGCTTGCCGATCAGAAGGTTGGCGGTTCGAATCCCCGCGACGGGGTGAGCTCCCATTGCTCGGTCCCTGCTCCTGCCAACCTAGAAGTTTGAAAGCACGTCAAAAGTGCAAGTAGATAAATAGGTACTGCTCCAGTGGGAAGGTAAACGGTGTTTCCGTGCGCTGCTCTGGTTCACCAGAAGCGGCTTAGTCATGCTGGCCACATGACCTGTACACTGTACACTGTACACCGGCTCCCTCGGCCAGTAAAGCGAGATGAGCGCCGCAACCCCAGAGTCGGCCACGACTGGACCTAATGGTCAGGGGTCCCTTTACCTTTACCTTTGCTGGGAGATGGAACTTTGTCCGCTCACGTTAAGCAGTTGGGGAACTGAGGCCGAAGGAGAGTGACTTGCGCAGAACCTCTTAAGCCTCGTTTAAAATAAAAATATAAATCAACTTCTTCCTATCTGGGTTGAGCTCCTGAAGACCTCCGCCTGGCTTCATATTCCTTGAATGAAACGAGCATGCACCTGACTGTTTCAAAGTGATGTTTGCATAACTCGTTGGCGAGGAGCAAGGACACGCAACTTATGAAATTGTATTTTTAAAAAATATTCTCTTCTCTCTTTCTCAGCTGCTTTTGTCATGGTCTGGGAAAGGCTGCTAGGGCTTTAGGGTGGGGCAAAGCAGGTGGGAAAAGCCATTGCCTGATAAACAGCAGAAAGTCTCTCTTACCTTGGATAATGTAATAGAAAAGATTCAGAAATTTGGGGAAGTGGCAGGATTTAAACTAAATTGGAACAAAACTAAACTACTAGTCAAAAAGTTGAAGGAAGAAGGAAAAAAAGGATTTAGAGCAAAATATTGAGATAGAAGTCCATAAAAAGGTTAAGTATTTAGGGAATATGGTTAACATCATTATATAATTATGAAAAAAAATTGGTTTGAGTTAAAAAGAAATTTAGAAATATGGAGCAGAATGAATCTCTCCTTGCTAGGGAAACGTTTCTCAGGCGTCGCCTTTCCGTTGCAGTACCTAAAGTTAAAGAATTTCGAGGAAGAAGTCCGAGCTCACCGCGACCTCGACGGGTTCCTCGCCAGAGCCAGCATCATCCTGGACGAGACGGCAACCTCCCTGGACGACGTCCTGCGGGAGATGCTGAAACACTTTGCGGAGGACTCTGACAACGCGGAGCCCAGCTGCAACTTTGACAAAATCATGAGCACTTTATTCACCGATTCGGGGGCCCCCAGAGAAGGGAATGGTGAGAGACCTCTTAGTTCTTCCTATTTGCCTGAGCTGAAGGAGGTTGAGCGTCCGAAGCCCTGGAGACGCACTGCCAGTCAGTGTCGACAGCACAGAGTTGTGTGGCAAGTTCTCGCCCCCCCCCCCCCGTGGAAATAATGACACAATTATTAAGGCGAATGGCCTAAATAAGGCCACAACTTTATTGGTTACAGGTGATGAGCGGTACTGGCTTAGGCATTGGTCCTACCCAACTATATCCAACTTCAGCCTGTCTTCTTGAAGTCTGGGAAGGGTTAACCACCAGTGGGGGGAGTCCTGCTGATGCACATCAACTAGGAACTCCCCCGGGGTCACTGATAGGGGGTGTCTTAGGCCCTCAACCTCCCCAGGCTTCGGACAGGGCTACGCACCCCGGAATCCTTTACCTGACTACCCTCTACAAAACAATACCAATACCAATGCCTAACCGCCAATACCCAGAAAGTTGTGACGATTTGCTTTGAGGTAGGCAAAAACCAAGTGGCTGGTGCCAGTTTGCCAAGTGGAAAAATTCCTACCAGGCCCCTCAACAGGGACCAACCAAGGTCCATTGCAAGGTCAAGGAACAAAAACCTTATAGGGTGGGAGGGTGGGAAAAGCAGGAACAGCTGGGAGGCGGGAAAAGAGGGAGATCCCCGGCCGTGTCCTGCCTTAAATAGGGGAGGCCACGCCCCCTGAGCCAGCTGATTGGCCGGCCAGGGGGTGACAAGGCCAGGAATCCCCCCCAATCGTGTGGGGGGCCCATGAAGCCCGCAACCCCACCTCCTCCGTAGGGTGGATGTGGCTTTAGATGATCCCAATAGTCTTCTAATTCTGGAGGAAGAGGAAGGGTTTTAGGGGACGCCAGCCATGTTTGGGAGGGTGGGAGGAGCATTCCCCAGCCAGGCTGCCACCACTGTCTTGGGTCAGGGCTTCCTGTGAGCATCCGATTGGCTGCCTGGAAAACGGAGTGATAATATGATAATATACATAATTTAATGCAGATGGAACCTCTCTGATATGAGTTAGCCTCCAGCATTTTTCCCCTGCTTTTGTCTCCCATAACACCGCTTGTGTCTTCGGTCCAAGCCGTGCTTGGCCAGAACGTTTCGTTTCCCAATTAAGCAGGAAGTTGCAAAATGGAACGAGCAGGGAGAATAACCCGATCCTACCCTCTCGGAAAACCTACCAAGCCACATTAGCCATTGTTCCTCTTTTCTTTTCAGCTCGAGAGAGGCTGAAACTTCACACTTCAAAGCTGCAATGGGTTTTTCAAGGATGGTGTTTCATTGAGATTTTCCTTTTTTTTTAATGCTTCTTATCTCTTTATACCAAGACCATTGAGTGGCTGAGAGCGACCCGGCCTGTTAAAAAGCTCGGATAATAGTTTGTGGCTGAATGAAGATGTAATTCCATATATGATAGTCCTTGAATATAATTCGAAATGTATTTAATTTCCTCTTCCTCCCCCTTTTCTGCAGTTCACCTCTTGTCAGATACAATTCAGGGCGTCACAGCGACAGTCACTGGGGTACAGTATCAACAGTCCTGGCTTTGTATCATGTAAGTACAGTATGTTTCTGTTGAAACTTGCCAGAGCATCTCTGTCCAAACTGTGTGGCGAGCACTATATTTTTTTGCTCTTATCACAAGACTCCATCTTCTTTTTCTCCTTTCTGCGTGCAAGTTTCCCGAGGGAAAGCGCTATAGCTCAGTCCTAAATTATCTGCTTTTGCACACAGAAGCCCCCTAGTTGAATCCTCAGCTCCTCTAGGTAGGAATGTCTCCAGCCTCAAACCCTGGACAGCTGCTGCCAGGCCAGTGTAGACAGTACTGGGCTAAATGGGACAGTTGTCTTGACTTGGTATACAATAGCTTCCTGTGTTTAGGGGGTTGGGGGTTAGTTTAGAACAGGCCACCACCTACAGATCAATTGAAATCCAGTGTTTTTGCAAGCAGAATTCTGGTGAAAAGGACTACTCCACTAGGAAATCTTGTCCTGTAATCATGGAAGTTGGAAGGGACCCCGAGGGTCATCTAGTCCAACCCCCCCCGCAATGCAGGAATTTCAGCTAAAGCACCCATGACAGATGGCCATCCAACCTCTGCTTAAAAACCTCCAAGGAAGGAGAGTCTATAACCTTCCATCCTATGGTCAAATTAGCTCTTCCTGTCAGAAAATTCTTCCTGATGGTTAGCCGGACTCTCCTTTCTTGTAACTTGAAGCCATTGGATCGAGTCCGGCCCTCCAGAGCAGGAGAAAAGAAGTTTACTTTCCACCCACCCTCCCCCACAGAATCTCACAAACGTCTCTTTGCTTTATAATACTAATACTAATAATTTATTATTCCTACCCCGCCCATCTGGCTGGGTTTCCCCAGCCACTCTGGGTGGCTTTCAAGGGAACATTAAAAACAGAATAAAACTTCAAACATTAAAAACTTCCCTAAACAGGGCTGCCTTCAGATGTCTTCTAAAAGTCAGATAGTTGTTTATTTCCTTGACATCTGGTGGGAGGGCGTTCCACAGGACAGGTGCCACCACTGAGAAGGCCCTCTGCCTGGTTCCCTGTAACTTGGCTTCTCATAGTGAGGGAACTGCCAGAAGGCCCTCGGAACTGGACCTCAGTGTCCAGACTGGATGATGGGGATGGAGACGCTCCTTCAGGTATACTGGGCCGTTCTTTATCTCCCATAAATTAACACACACACCCCAACTGCTGGGATAAGCCCTCTATAGAAATTGAGCCAGTGGGGGGCGGTTTGTTTGGAGAAATGGGGCACTGCCCCACCAATCTGCCCTTCTCACAACCAATCCAGGGGGTCACACTTCCTATCAGGTTCCTGCTCCTTAAGCCACAGAATTCACAGAACCTTAAACAGCGGAATTTGAAGAAACCGTGAGGGTCATCTGGTCCAACCCTTTACAATGCAGGAATCTTTTTGCCCAACCTGGGATTCGAACCCACAACCCTGAAACTGAGTGTCTCGTGCTCTACCACCGGAGCTAGTTAGTTGGCTATTCCTGTCTTCCAACCTACCAGTCCCAAAAGGCGCTGCTGGCTTTCCTCTCCCTCTTACACCTGGGGAGGTTATGCCACCCCACCATATAAATATAAAAGAAAGTAAACTGGGACAAAAGCCTGGAACATTTCTGCCTGATAAGCTGCGTTGGAAAAGGGCCATAACTTGGCAGAAGAGCACCTGCGTTCGATATCCCAACGTCTCCAGACAAGGCTGGGAAAATAATCCTTTCTGAAACCCTGGAGAGCTATTGCTCATCTGCATAGAAGAGCAACCCTCAAACTTCACAGTTAATGCAAACCTTTTAAAAATTGCTGGGGGTTTTGCCAAACTTTCGTTTTCTTTTCTTTTCTCAAAAACAGTGCCATTCAATGGAAATTGTGGGCCCACGGCCAACCGGTTAAGAAAGGCCCACTTTTTTTCCTTTAAAAAGGGAGTTATTTGGGGGGAAGAATTAGGAGGCTGCACCCACTCCATTGCGGACGTCATTGGCCTTGCCAGCCTGCTTCGTAAATCTGGCACTAATTTTATCAGCTTTGGTTGTGATGATCAGGGGTTGTGTCCATGGCCAAGTGAGTCAACCGTCTTGACTTTTTCCGCAACTGAGTGGTGCTCACAAGCAATCCTTTGGAAACCTCTGCTCTGAATGATTCTGTACTAGGTGGACCAATGTCTGGCCTTTGTAGAAGGGAGCATCTTGTGTTTGCAAGGCCATCTGACTGGGAGAATTACCTTGCAAACTGGGTACGAGGTTCCTTTAACCAGGGTAAAGGTAAAGGGACCCCTGACCATTAGGTCCAGGCGTGGCCAACTCTGGGGTTGCGGCGCTCATCTCGCTTTATTGGCCGAGGGAGCTGGCGTACAGCTTCCGAGTCATGTGGCCAGCATGACTAAGCCACTTCTGGCGAACCAGAGCAGCGCGCAGAAACGCCGTTTACCTTCCCGCCGGAGTGGTACCTATTTATCTACTTGCACTTTGACGTGCTTTCAAACTGCTAGGTTGGCAGGAGCAGGGACCGAGCAACAGGAGCTCACCCCATGGCGAGGATTCGAACCACCGACCTTCTGATCGGCAAGCCCTAGGCTCTGTGGTTTAGACCACAGCGCCACCCGCATCCCTTTTAACCAGGGTAGCCTTAATGCAAAAAAAGCAAAAAATAAATAAATAGTCTCATCGTGATGGTTAAGCAAAAAACCAACACAAAACCAGAACCCACACAGGAACACAATTCTTAACAATTTTCCATTCACTGATTTTCGGCAGCTAAAAGTTGTTCACGTTTTGGTGATTGGGAAAGGAAATGAGGCACATTTAACTGTAAATGTATATTTTGTGTGTGTTTGTGTGATGTTGTGACTTTTGTACCAACGGTCCTTGGTGAAAGTTGAATGCTGGAGGAATTAATTATTCCCCGATCACCTTTTAAATTTGCTTTGTGCATCCTTTCTTTGAGGTTGAAATGACACAGGCTTTGTAAATATATGTCTTTTTAAAGCACGTTTGAGTTAATAAAAACTCTGACCTTTCAAGCTCTCGCAGATGTAGGGTTTTTTCCCCCCTTGGAGAAAAAGAAAAGTCATTTAAAAAAATGATAATTTGGCTGGTGCTTGGCTGGTTGATCCCCCTGAATGCTCTATTGTGAGGACAAAGAGTGTGTCTAGGTCAATTAGTTTCTAATAGAATCTGAGCTCGCTTGCCTTTTCCAGGAAAGATAGGCAGGGCTGAGGTCTCAGGGCTTTGAGTCGGAGGAGAGCAGCAGCAGAATGGATGTTCTTATATGATAGAATTATTATTAAGTGAATTTACAGCCTACCCTTTATTGCAAGAGATCCCAGGGCAAGGGACAGCACTCACATTACATGAAACAAACTATTATAAACTATAAACTTTAGAATGAAGAATCAGAGCTGTTTATAAACTACAGAGTGGGCTACTCTCTGTCAATCAACAAATGCACTCAAACACTGCAAACACCTTATGCCCATATAACTCAGTACTGTACAGACCAGAATTTCCCAACCTGTTGCTTTGTACAGTGGTACCTCAGTTGTCGAACGTAATCCGTTCTGGAAGACCGGAAGACTTCTGAAACGTTCGACAACCGAGGCGCAAAGGGCCGTCGGCAAAGTCAATGGAGAAAAACGAAAAAAACTGAGGTACCACTGTAGATGTTTTGGACTACAACTCCCATGATCCCCGGTGTGCTGACAGGGGATTATAGGAGTTGTAGTCCAACAACAGCTGGGGACCCAAGTTTTAGAAACGCTGCTCTTGATGTTGGGCACAGTGGCCTTGAATCATAGAATCAGGATTCCCCTCACGGGAATCGAACCTGCAACCTTGTCATTATCAGCAGCATGCTCTAAGCAGCTGAGTTATCCAGCTGGCTTTAATTACTGCAACACACCCTATGTAGTAGTAGTAGTAGTAGTAGTAATAATAATAATAATAATAATAATATATTATTTATACCCCGCCCATCTGGCTGGGTTTCCCTAGCCACTCTGGGCTGCTTCCAACCAAATATTAAAAACAATACAGCATCAAACTTTAAAAACTTCCCTAAACAGGGCCGCCTTCAGTTGTCTTTTAAAAGTAAAATAGATCTGCTGGGAGGGCGTTCCACAGGACAGGTGCCACCACTGAGAAGCCCCTCTGCCTGGTTCCCTGTAACCTCACTTCTTGCAATGAGGGAACCGCCAGAAGGCCCTCAACACTGGACCTCAGTGTCCGGGCTGAACGATGGGGGTGGAGACGCTCCTTCAGGTATACAGGACCAGACTGTTTAGGGCTTTCAAGGTCAGCACCAACATTTTGAATTGTGCTCAGAAACATAAGTAGGGATATATGTAGCTGCTGCAGAACAAAATATCTGAATTGTTGACTGTCTTATCCCATTGACATGATAGAATTTCTCTACTGAAGGTATTGCAGTAGAGTTTTGTCAGTGTGGTTTAAGATGGTCACAAAGCAGAAAAATGAAATGGGTTTTTAGATAGAGAGATATTTTACTAGTTGTCGTCTAGCTTCGTCTGCAGATTTGTGTCTTAAGACCGTTACAAGATTCAGCTTCATTAGTTTCTCATTATGAGCTTTGCAGAATCTGGCATTTTCTTTGGCGCTGAACATTATCCGTGTGATGTGTACAATGCACTATTGAATAAGAGAAAGAAGAATGTTTTTAAAGTGCATTAACAATATGAAGGGGGGGGAAGAGAAGAGAGACCAGGACGTGTGCTATCGGTAAACACTCTGACGTGATGTGTGAAATCTCTGCTTTGAGGATAGAGAACCTTATCGGCCGCCCACCAAGGTCTCCCTTTGGGCAAACTCATGATGAGACCCTTCCCGTGTGTTAACAGAGGTTGTCTTCAATCAGGCACTATGAATCACAGGTGAGCAGGTACATTTTGCCCGAAAAACAGCAACCCCAAACACCCACACACCTCTCCTAAAATGTTCCAGCCAGTGTGGCTGTTTACCCACAATTCTTATCTCTCAGACATCTAATTGTGTTTTTGTCACGTCTTTGGAAGGG